CAGAAAACAGTGTTATAATTACAACAGCTTTTTCTTCTTGGCTTCCAAATATCTGTGAAAGAACAGGCAGTAAGTACTTCAGTGCTGGAGGGAGGCAGCCTCCCACCCACTGAAGGCAGTGGTGTCAGGGGAGGCAACTAGCTACTCAAGGGAAGTGTTTTGGGTCTATTGAGCTATATAGGCAGTAGCCATTATAATAGGCTAATATTCTGCAAAAATCAGAATAATAAACCCCAGCCTCCCTATCTTGGCCCTCGCACAGTTAGGCTGGTTGGGCATCATTGAGCATCCAGCTCTATGCTCTGGGGATTTACACCTTCCAGATCCTTTTGTGCTGAAGCTAACCATGGAGAAGATCTGTGCTGTGTGCTGGAACTTCTATTCCCCACCTTTCAGAGGGCTGAATAGTGAGTCCTGGAGCCACTGCCTCCTCGGTAGGATTAGGCAAATCTGGAGTCAGTAGCCTTGTCAAAGAGGTGAAGTTTCTTAGGCTGTTGGCTTGATTCTTGTGGCTGTGAGTGCCGCCTTGGTTGTAGGTAGTTTTCTTTTGGCAATCTGCAGCTACTGTAGGAATGAAAAGTACAAAACATTGCTGGAGCCATCTGGCATTTCATCTTCATTCTAAAGGCAAACACCGCTGCAAAACCAACCCCCTGGTCTTCAGTTTTCTGGTTCTGATTTCCCCTCCTACAGCCCTCCCAGCCTGCTCTGTTGAGCTCTTTGGGTTCTTTTGAACTCTTTTTTGTTTCCTGCAGTACTATGTTCTTGTGCATGCAGTTACTCACACAGCAACTACAGTGAAGGTGTTCAGAGTAATATCAGTGCATGAGTGCACCCATTATTAACTTTCATGTTGTAAAAGAGTTACAGAAGGGAGTTTACAAGGCATTTTCAGTTCAGGTTAACTATTACAATATAAGTTTAATTACATACTTTGTTGACTTAAGCCTCAGTGAGGGCTGGTCACACGCACAAGTAAAGGTGATCCACCCACCTCAAGCATCTTGCAGGACTCCTGTGTGTAAGCAACAGCTCAGATTTTCTTTTCACCAAAAGGTGGTACCATTCTGACCAAACCCTTTCAAACAATCACTCATTATAGAAACCATAGCATTACTCTGATTTAAGCAATGGTTGGGTTTGGTTTTTTCATTAGCTTGAAGGTAACTAAGAAGATTTAGGCCAACTTTTTATTATTCTTACACCAACTGAGGCCACCAATAGTATCCTGGTTATTCTGACTCCTCTTCATTGCCTCTTGAGCAAGCATGGAGGGCCAGATTACAATGTCATTCCCATGTCCCCTGCAGCCAGGGGCTGCATGCCTGCACCCTCCATGTAGGCACTGCTGTCTGCAATGGGAAGGAAAGGTCAACACAGAAAGGCCAAGACTTGTTTTCCAGACAAGGGTATTGTCCCTCACTGCAAGGGAGGTCCCAGGCAGATTAAAAGATCACTGCTAGAGTGTTTTGTCTAGGTACAGTTCTACTATACAGGCAATAACTTAAATCCTCACAACCTGTCCCCCTTAGTTCTTGCTGAAAAAGCTTGTTCTCTCTCATTTCTTTGAGGAATAATAATGGACCTGTTAAGCTGGAGAGAGAAAACCTCCCCCTCGTTTAGAAGGGAGCGCCAAAGAGAGAGAAAGAGCGAGCATGTTGGCTTTTAGGAAAGATATTTAGTCATTCTTCTCTGCAGAAGGCTGGCAGGGAACATTGCAAAGTTCATTTCCGAATCAGAAGAGCGTGTAAAGACTGCTTGTTTTATTCACTACATTAATCGTACTTCCCATATTACTCATAATATTAAAATACCCAAGTCACTTCACTGTATACCAGAGACATTTAGCTGCCAATTTTCAAATGATTGTAAATTGAGTGTGTCTGTTTGAGCCAGCCAAAATAAGCTGGGTTAGATCATGAGTGTATGTCTGTGCCTGTGGGTGTAGGGGGGAAAGAGGGACTGCTGTGACGAGGGAGTGCATAAGGCCTAGGAAACATCTTTACAGGAGCAAAAGAGAGAAAAGGATAGTCGTTCTTATTTTTATCTGCTTCTGTATTTCTCTACAGCAGTTCATATCCTTCACTTGCCACTTTTAATTTCCTTTTTCCGCAGATGAACGTGGCTGAGCTTTTCTAACAGTGCATCTCTTTGCTGTTGTGTGAATGGTGTCTAGTTTACCTTCCAGCCCAGTCCTCTGCTCTCAACAGGCATTGAAAGAGGCTGTCTTACCATTCACCCTGAAGGGTTTAATGTGGGCAGCTGAGGTCTGCAGGTACTCTGCTGCTGCTTGGCATGGCTCCTGCAATGACATCCCCTTGCAGTGGGAACAGCCCCAAGTGGCTGGATCTGGCCCTGAAGCTGACAATAGGCCAGAGCTGGCCAAGCCTTCCAGTACCTGAAAGGAGCCTACAAGAGAGATGGAGATAAACTCTTTACAAGGACATGCAGTGACAGGACGGGGGGAATGGCTTCAAACTGACAGAGAGTGTGTTTAGTTTAGATGTTAGGAAGAAATTCTTCCCTGCGAGGGTGCTGAGGCACGGGCACAGGTTGACCAGAGAAGCTGTGGCTGCCCCATCCCTGGAAGTGTTCAAGATCAGGTTAGATGGGGCTCTGAGCAGCCTGGTCTAGTGGAAGGTGTCCCTGCCCATGGCAGGGAGTTAGAACTAGATGATCTTTAAGATCCCTTCCAACCCAAGCCATTCTATGATAAGCTTGTCCACCAGTAGGAATCAGGCTTCCTCCCTCTGAAGACCTTACAAACAGATACTGCCTTTAGCTCTTCTTCACAAGATACGAAACCCGCAAATCCTGGTACCTCCAGAATGGGCAAACCTGGTCCTGCTTTCCAGAGCTCTAAAGCTGGTTGCTGCTCCATTGCACCAGACTCTAGTGCAGTGGGAACAGAGGGAGGTCGGCTGCAAAGCACTGAAAAGTGACATTGCAGAGTTACTGGTAAAAACAGAACTCCAAGTGGAATCTACTTAATATATTTTCAGTAGATGTTGTAGGTGTGAGATTTGGTGGCTTCTAAATACACCTCCTGAGCATCGCTGGGGCTGGCTGTTCCTTGCCCCTGCTGAGTATGGGCCAGGAGGGGACATGCAGAATGAGATACAACCCAGGAGATGGTGCAGAACAGGAAGAATACTGCCCTGTGCTTTTTGTAACATGCCTTAAGATGTTGTCTCCCTTCCTGAGTTGGTGCCTTGAGTAGGAAGAGCCACATGCCAAAGTTTCTATCTTCCCTTTGCAGTTAGGATGGTGGGGGAAGTAGAAAAAAACAGGGGCAATGATGATGGCATGTAATACTGCTGTTGATAATCACACTTACTGCTCTTGTTATGATTTTCATAAGTATATCTTAAAATACCTGTTAGTGGTCAGTGTCATCATCTTTATTTTACACATGGGGTAACTGAGTCAGACAGAAATAACTTCCAGTCAGTGCCAGTGGTGGGAATGGTCATTTCACTAAGGGCAGTCATGGTGGAAATCATGTAGCAGTAGTACAAGCAGCAGAGCAGATAAAAGCTCTTTTTTGTGTGTTAGCATTGGGAAACTATAAACCATCTGTGTGCATGTCAAATAAAGGCTGAGCTCACCCTGCAGTATGTTCTTAGTCACTAAAAGATGCTCCTTCTACCCCAACTGAAACCTAAAAGACCTTAATGTTTTGGGAACTTCCATTCCATAGTTAAATGTGGTAGAAGTTGCCAAGCAGTTTCAAGAGTGGAGGAGTGGGGGTGAGCTGTTAGACAGAGGGACTGTGTGAGTCTTTTTTCATTTTGGAGTCAAAACTGTGAGGCTATAAAAGGTGGCACTGGATTGAGGAAGTACACTTCCGTTCCCTTCTACTAGTGCTGGAACAGGTTTAGTCTCACTTTTCACTGGCATTTCTTTACCTTTGTCCTCAGACCTTAGCTCAGTGATTTAGGCCAATGTACCTGTGGTACCTGGCAGGTGTTTATCATTCAGCATGGAATTTATGGGGCTGGTGGCCAGGGGTGGACAGCACTGGTATGTGACTTTGTGTTGAGCTAGAGAATTTTGTGGTCTCAATTGTGTCATCAGTTGCATCTGATGGCAGCAGAAAGTCATTACCTCTAAGCAACATCTGTTTGCAGAACAGTTACAAATGGCATTGAACAGGAAAATGGAGCATTTTTGTAGGACAGGTAGTTGGTCTGTGCCAGGCACTTTGCTTCCTCTCCGACTGTGCATCTTAGAAACTCTAAAACTGTTGTTCTTTCAGCACAGCCCTGAGTTTTCTTTAGCCTAAGCAAAAGTGTAAATCTTTGAGAAAAGAGTAAAGTGGTAATAGGAAACAGTCATTCTAATCAGTTGCCCCTTTTCTGTTGTTTCATTTTCAAAAATGGCTGAGATTGGCTCAATGAACTGAAAAATCATAATTACCTAGTGTTTCTTTTTCTTTTTTTTTCTTTAGAGGACTAACCATTCTTGAGGTTACATTCTAGAAAAGGGATGCTATATTGGTGGGTTAAACCAGGTGTAGTGTCTAGCCTGGATAAATGCCAATTTGTTGATAAAGAAATAAAGTAACCACAGCTCAGACAAATATATGCCAACAATGCTGGAAATATCATTACTGATCTTATATTTTCTCTGTAGTGAGCCACAGAGGCAAAACTATACTTCAAAAAATGTATTATGTGAATATATTGAAAGTTAGTGTCAAGATACGTAAAGTACCTAAAATATGTAAGCCTAAGTTTTTTGAAATTACTGATTTCAAATGTGCAACTGTTGAAGTTACTGAGTTGGAACACATCAGAAAGAACTGCTTTTCAAGGATGTCATGTATTTTCTAAGCCCTTATTCCCTTTAGGATATCTGGGATGCATGGGGTACCAGAAGTCATCTTTGAGTTTTAAAAAGGTCCTGCAGTGTGTGGACAGAAATATTAGGCTTATTGTGAAAGTGATACCCTTCTAAAATGTGGTTGGGTGCTAATGACTCCTCATGTCCTCTTTCAGTATCCACAATGGAGTAATAGCAGTGTTCCAGCGCAAGGGACTCCCAGACCATGAACTTTACAACCTCAATGAAGGAGTCAGGTAAGAGACTCGGCTCTGCACAGGGTGTTCTTAGCCAGCGTGCACAGTACTGTTCAGTGGCACTCATGCTTTAAAGCTTCTGCAGTTGTGTTAAGGATGGTTTTTTTCCTGGTGGTAGTTTCAGTCTGTTTGGCCTCAGTGAATGGCTGTGGCTGACGTGTGTCAACACCTTGCTGTGTAGTGAGAGCTGCATTCCTTCTGCAAGAGGAATTCAGCTGTGAGGATGAGGGTTTATTTCATAGTCTGTCTTGATGTACTGGTTTGAAACTAAAGAAGGGAAAGCATGGACCCCTCTAGTGATGCAGCCCTATTCCACTGTAGTGCTGCAGACCAGTTAGATGTATAATACGAACATTTTTACAAAAAAAAAAAAAAAAAAAGGTTAAAATCCTACCATTTGAGTTAACTTAGAGTTGAAAGGTGATATCTGGATTTACAGCACTTCACTTTTTACCATGTTTTTTAGCACTTGTTATTGCTTACTAAACCCTCTCTCATTCACAAGGGCAAGGTAGCAGATTTCTTTTTAGAATTTTGTCCCAATGCTTTGTAAAATAAATGGTGGAAAAGAATCTACACTTAGAAAAGACAGACAGCTTATTACATCCCCTGGCTGTCTTCAGATAAGTTATTCCTTTTCCCTTACTGCTTCCTACTCTGACAGAGCACTAACAAAATCCCCAGAATATCCAGATATTCTGGGTTTATCCGTGCCTGTATGGTTCCCAGTCTGTGATAGCTGGCCCAGTCCAATGCTTTAAATTGTGGGAATATCTTCAGAGAAGGGCAGACAAATGACATTGGGCCTGTGTTCTCTCTTTTTCCCTCTCTTTGTCTTTTTGAAATTAAAAGAAACTTATTCTACAGTCATTTCTTACTTCTCTGGGGAGAAAATGACACACAAAGAATAGCTTTTCTAGAATGGCTGTCAGTTAACATGATCCATCAATCACGTTGAGTTAGTTATTGAAATAATGGTTGATCATGATTACTGTAAGTGCAGTTAGGATTCTTCAGTTTTACCTGAATGACAAAAAATGGTAGTTCTGGGCTGCGATTTTCTGGTCCAATGCATTTGCCTTAGCTCATCTGCTGGTGAGGGACAGAAGAGGAAAAATTACCTGCTGATGTGACAGAAGACAAATATAATCTTGTATGAACCAACAAATAGAAGACAGAGATAGATAGATAGATAGATAGAGGATGGATGGATGGATAGATGGATGTTATTTGTTGAGTTGTGCCCAAATTTTGCTTTCATTTACCTGGGAGTAAACCCTGCACCACAATGATGCTTGGCAACATAGTTGAGTTGCATTTATTGCCACATCCCATGCAGCTGAACAGGCAAGATGACTACAAATAGACTGAATTTTTTTCCCCGTTTTATGATGGGCTGTGCTGGCACATGATAGACCTTTTTCTTTTTGTAAGGATAGTGCTGCTTTGTTGTTATCTCAGCTGATAGCTCACTTCAGGGAGAGTGCCTGGTGACTCATACCTGAGGTGATGGACAAAATATTGTGAAATCTAGACCGAGCTAGAAAGCTGCTGTCATAAAAGAGGCATTAGCAGCGTAACATTCCTCGGAGGAGTTAGTGTTTGGAGAGATTCAGTGTGGCTTTCAAGGCTGGTTCTTGTCTACTGCTTCTTTAAGGTTGTTCCTTCTTGCCTCCAACTTGGCCTGGACAGCCTTCTAATTTGTTGCCAAAAGCTGTCCATCCTCTCAGTGACAACTCCAAGTATGTTAGTGTGAAGCTACTCGTGTGCCTCCTGCTTGCTTCATTCATAGAGAAAAGCTAATTTGAGAAAAGCTAATTTGAGAAAACTGCAAGCTGGCAAAAAGGACACAGCAGCTGAAAGATCTGTCTCCAGAGAAGGGCATGGTAGGGGCATTTTTTTAAACATGTCTGTTCACATATCCAGCCACAGCCTCTTTCCAGAAGCTGCTGCGTTCCTGCTGTGTGCTTCATTTTACTGCTGACCACAATCAATAATGTTTTAGGACCTCCTGACTGTTTGCAACCGAAGCCCTTTTGCCTCACTTTAATTCAGCTCAAAACCAAACTGAGAAATTACTTGACACATGCCAGAAATACCTGGCTTACTGCTATGGTTGTTTATTTCACAATAACTTTCTTTTGGGTGAATGTTATTATTAGGTGCAAAAGTATCTGATTCATAAACACAGCCTCAGAAGTGGAACAAGTGTATACTTGCCTTATGATTGTTTTAGATGCATTTTCCCCACAAGTACATAATGAGAAAGAAACACATAGCCATTATTTCCACTGGGCAGAATTGGAGTCTGGAAGTATTCGGGTACATGGCTAATATTAGTTGGTTACTTTTTCAACAGTTACAGGACAGTAAAAGAAGTTATTTTATTAGACTACTTTTTCTAGAGCAGATTCTGTGATACTTTTCATAACAAAACCCTGAATATCCAAGTTGACTCACAGTCCAAGTGTAAATATTTGAACAATATTTGCACACCATTGTTTTGACTCAGGAATGTGTGCGTATATTCAACTACCATATGTCACATATGTGCAAACAAATACATATAACTTCCTTTTCTGAACACACATCTCAAAGCTTTGAACCCTAAGAAAACATCAATGAGTACAAATCTGTATAGTACCATTTACTTTTCTTCTAGGTTTGACTCATAAGAGCTGCCACTCATTTACACCAGTGCCTTTTGACACCATTCTTGCATTCCTCTGGCATTAGAAAATGGCCTGAAATGTGGAGTTACATAGGTCTCAGAAGGCCTATTGCTAAAATAGCCAGTGTGGGATTTGAGTCTCTCACACTGCTCAAACTCCTGAACAGCTCTGCTAAAGCTAATCAAGTACCTCGAGGTGGTGGTAAGATACTCCAGCAACCAGGAGTATCACCAGTGTATGGCCTGTACATTACTTCTTCTGGGCCCTTACTAGGTGATTTAATAGGACATTGGTTCAAAAGTCAGGTAATAAAAATCTATATGCATGTATGTGCTGTTTAGTTTTCTCTTGATGCATATGTGTGATATCAGTGGTCGAACAGTGGTTTTTCCTTTTTAATTTCATGTACCAGATGTGATTTCAAAGTGTTTATTTTGACCACTTGTAAATCAAGGAGGAAAAAGAAGGAAAGGGAAACACAAGTGGAAGCAGGATGTCCTGTATTAAAGCTAATACATATTTATAGCTGCCTCTTTTCTGAGTTTCAGGATACTGGTTTGATGCAAACAAAGCACATTTTAGTGGCATTTCCTCTTTCACAGCAAGAGTTCAAACACAGTAAAATCACTTGTTTCCATTTGCTTCATTTAACTTTATTTAACAGACACTATACAGTATTATACTTTACATTCTGCGTAATGTTGTAAGATTTATTTCAAAATGAACCAAAGAAGCAGCAGCAGTAAAAAAAAGTCAGGAGCTATTTTAGCACATTTTATATGAATTTATATTATCTTCTTAATTTATGAAGTCATTAAATAGATAGACAAGCTTCAAAAGAGTGCAAAATGCCTGTCTTCAAAACCCAATGCACTTGGAATGAAATTGCTATTTGGTCAGGGATCTCTTTTAGGTTCAGTCAGATTTTTACCTGAATTCCACCACAATGTCCACATGTCTAGATAAGGTTAGTCAGTAACTAGAATTATCCAGGATCTAACAGCCTGACTGATTTTTGTTAAAGGAAATTAAGCAAGGATGAAAAAAAATTGCAAGCAATGTCTTGGATCCAGTTTTGTTGTGGATCTCTTTTAAATGAATATGTACAAAGAACATCAAACACCAGTGTTCTAATCTGGCCTGGGGGCCTCACTGTTTCACTAGAAATTAATTAAGTAGCTTGAAGTATGTGTATTATTAGGAATTTAAAAAGTAAGATGCATTAATTGTGCTGTCAGTTCTTCTGCCCTGTAAACAGAGATGCTAATACAGCCATAGAGCTGCCTGGTGTGGTGCAGTCCAGTGCATATAATTAACTACAAGCTGTTTATTTAGCTCATTCACAGCTGAAGAGAAAGAAATGTGTTAGGATTTTGTTTTATCAGGAGTCTGGTCATTGGATAAGTAGAATGTAATTTTTTATTTCTCATCCTAAATGCCAGAAATTATCAGTAGAATCTAAAATATTAAGAGAGAAGGTATTTGCAAATCACCTGTTCAAGACTATGAGGAATCCAGGTCAAGCTCCTAGCTTGAGGAGAGGGTAGAAAATTAAGCAAAATCTGTCAGCATAAAGTATCAGTATTTTTTTTAAACAGTGGCACAAAATTGATGCCTGGGAATAAATTGTCTCTCTCATAGGAGAGTTCAAAACTGCAACTTTCTTGCTTTTTTAACCTAAAAATGATTTATCTATCCATGTTCAAAGTAAGAAAAACCTTTAGTGCCATTGCTTGTGATCCAGAAAAAAATCACACCACTGGACAGTAAATATCGACTTGGAGTAAGCATGCTACAATTTGGCTATTTGCATCCTTGTACTCATTGACATACCCGTAAGGCATCAAGACATTAACAGTCTTTGGGGGAGGTGAGTTTCAACCCCTGCCAAGGGCTTGTCAGTGGGTACCATTGGGGATGGTCTCAGGGCACTGCAAGGGTTGTCCTCTCCCACACATTGAAAGCACATGCCAAGGGGTCTTGGCCATGCAGTGGCTGTTCGTGGCAGTGAGAGACCTATGGCTAAATCATGGAATCATAGAATCAACCTCATTGGAAACGACCTCAAAGCTCACCAAGTCCAACCCTACCATGGTTCCTAGACCATGGTACTAAGTGCCACATCCAGTCTCATCTTGAAAACCTCCAGGGATGGTGAGTCCACCACCTCCCTGGGCAGCACATTCCAATGTCTGACTACTCTCTGTAAAAAAATCTCTTCCTAATATCCAACCTAAACCTCCCCTGGCAGAGCTTGAGTCTGTGCCCGCTTGTCCTCCTGCTGGTCACCTAGGAGAAGAGACCAACCCTCACCTGACTCCAGTCTCCTGTCAGGGAGTTGTAGAGGGTGATAAGGTCTCCCCTGAGCCTCCTCTTCTCCAGGGTATACAACTCCAGCTCTCTCAGCCTCTCCTCAAAAAGCCTGAGCTGGCTTTCAAAATATTTGTCCATAGATAGTGTGTCTGAATTAATCAAGTTTCTAGCTGAAAAGGATTCTGAGGCTCAGAAGCATCTGAAAACCCTCTTCCTTGTGCTTATTTTTTATGTCATTTCTGCCTAGAGTGTTTCCACAGGGTGCTATGAGGTCAGTATGGACATGTGCTTAAGGAAAAATAAGTCAGATATTGTATTTCAGCCTCCTCAAGATTGACCTGTTCCTCTTTTCCCTGAACTTTCAGGAGCTCTCAGAACCATCTCCAGTAGACTTTCTTAGGAATATAGTCATATGCTGGATTTGGTTTGATGTCTCTTTGTTTACTAGTTAAATAATTTGATTCATGAGCTGTTTAGTTAAAGACATAACCCAAAGGAATAGATGACATGCTACTGAACATATAATTTACATAACTACCCTAATTGAAATGGGTGTTTTTAAGTCAAATTTGACCTCATTTCTTCATGGGACCTGAGGTGGTCACACAGACAGGTTTTCAAAATATCTCCAGGCCAGATTTGCTTGTGTTCAGAAACACCATCTGGGGCTACATTTCTATAAGGTATGAGCTGTTGTGCATCTAAACAGTGACCTGACTGCAGAGGAGTATTACCAAGCATCCAACATGTGAGACTTAAAAGACATACAGATTTTAGTAAAGTAGTGAGTTTTACCTGAATGCCAGCGTTGGGCTGATGGACTGGGTTGAATTCAGTTTCTGATTTTGAGGGTTTGTGGGATCTTTTTTTTTCGCATGTGTATTTTGCTTGCTCTCTGAGATTGCTTTTTAGGTTTTAGTGTAGAGGAATCATGAAAGGCAGAGCTAAACTGTTAAATTCCTACCTGCCTTTTCACAGAAACCATATGAAACTTCAGCTGCTGTGAGTGGCCCTTTCAGTGGTGGAAAACTGTGGCCCTTTTGTCACAGCTCTATTTTTCATGCTTACAGGACAGGGGTGATTTGGCTTTGGACTCATCATTTTGGCTCAGCTCCACAGATGGTGAGAGAGCACCGGGAGTTCTCCCATGTCTGCAGTGCCAGGCGCCAGTGAAGCTCTGGCACCACAGGAGAACAAATTGAGCATTTTTAAAAGGATTAGATGTAGGATGGAAAACATCCTCTTTTTGTCAAATCTTAATTTGCTTTTATATGTATTTGTGCAACTGAGTTCAGCTAAAACCACAGCAGATATTTTTCAACACACAGAAACATTGGTTGGGAGTCTTGGTATTGTTGACCCTGTTTGCTCTTCTTTTGTAGTCATTATTGACAGGCTCAGTGCTCATTCAAAAATGCTTTGCTATTAGTGACTTCCCCTCTTCCATGTAGTGCACAACTAATACAATTTGCTGATCACACAGATCCTTTTCTTATTCTTTTTAATACAGGCAATTATTGAAAACAGAACTGGGATCCTTCTTCACTGAATATCTGCAGGTAAGCATGTGTTTTCTTTGTTTTAATCCAATGTTGTTACATGCTACTGAGCAAAATCATTTCACCCGCTCTAAATGCTGCTCTGGAGACCCTTGAAACCATTCAGAGATGTCTACTGCCTTCTCTGTTTTTGTCATTTATGGACTAGTGAGATTTGTATTTTATGTATCTGTATAGTTAGATAGTTGAAAGCCCAAACTGTCACTGTGTTTCAGTATGGCATTGCTGTCTTTCAGTAGATTTCAGACATTCTCTTATAACTTAAAATTTAAATTCCTGGCTAAACCAGTTAACTTCATTGCAGTACAGTTAATAGGGAAGACATTTAGCAGTAAGTAGCACTGCCTGTTGAAGCAGTGTTCTCTCTGCTTCTCTAAGACAGAGTAGGTTTTGTGGGTCAGCCATTTGAAGTTTGAGAAGCACTTTGTACTTCACAAACTACATGCTGTGTCCTGAAAACAGCAGGTGATTATATCATCATTTGACAAGCACCCCAAGTGATTTAAGGAAGATGGACACAGGAGTCCTTTGATGATTGATCATTAAAATAAAGGGCCCCCTTCCTTGTCAAAAATTAAGAATGAACAAAATGTGATGGCTGTAAGAAGTACAGAATTGAGTAAAGGTAGCCTGTATTTTATTTACAGAATCAGCTGCTCACAAAAGGCATGGTGATCCTGAGGGACAAGATCCGGTTTTATGAAGGTAACTTGGATTTTAGCATTGGTCTGTCTCAGGGGTTTTAGCAAATGCATTCTGGAGGCAGTGGGATGCTTTCCACTATCTTCCTGGGACTATGGATTAGTGTGTATCAGTCCATTCTCACAGTCTGTTGTTATATCCTGCCCTGGTGTTCTCACTAGCCTTCGTCAAGGGGAGATGATTGCTTAGGGCAGCATTAAGGGTGTAAAGGAAGGATTGACTCCAGCATGACACTTCCTTCTCCTTCACTTACGGCCTGTTCAGTGTTCAGGACAAGTGGAAACATAGGCTGAGATATCTTAAGAAACCAGAAACTAAGCATGAAGATCCCAGTTAGCTGAAATATCTGACTAACTCCAAAATAATGCTGTAGGTTGTTTAAAGAGTTATTCTGGATTCATGCTTACATAAACTAGGTCAGACACTGTCTCTTTTTTTAAAGTCAAGGCTTCATTTAACTGTCTGCAGCTTCTGGAGGTGTCACCTTACGGAAGTAAACCTCCACCTGATGTGTTTTGTGCAGTCACCTATATTTTGTGTCCTATGCTATTATGTGGTATTTAGATGTGCTGTTAAATATACAGTTTTGTCCTAGATTTAGGCATGCCAGTTATGTCAGTAGTGGTTTAGACTGGATATTTTTTTAAAAATTCTCACCAAAAGGACTGGCCAGGCATTGACACAGGCTGCCAAGGGCAGTCGTTGAGTCATCTGCCCTGCAGGCATTTAAGAGTCATGTAGATGTGGCATCTGGGGACGTGGTTTAGTGGTGGCCTTGGCAGTGCTGGGTTAATGGTTGGACTCAATAATCTTAAAGGTCTTTTCCAACCTAAATGATTCTGTGATTCTATACATCATCAAATGGTTTTGGAATATCTTAAGAACTGTTGCCCATGTAAACAGTCTGAAGAACTTTGGGGAGTGAAGGCAGTTTAAAAGAAATGCATCTTTCCTTTTCCAAAGTTGCAGTCATAATATCACTTAGTCTAAACATATTGCTGAAGCAGTAGCTTGGAGACAACTGTTTTCATTAGTCTCAGCTATCTCTTAAATCCTGGATGTGACCTTCCACTACTGACAATACAGTTGATCAGATTGAGATGGTTCTGTGGGACCCAACTTTTCTGATGAAAAGACAATAGCCCTGAACACTGCAAAAGGAGAACCAATTTCACATTAAAAAAACCCCAAACCCACAAAAAGAGGACTGAAACTTCAAGCTGAACACAGATTCCTCAGTTATACAAAATAACAGCTTGGAGAGCACAAAGGGAGCTGTAAGGATCTCAAGGGATTTGTAGCTGCTTTGTAAATCACAAAGGAAGTTGTTTTTCAAGTGTTAAATCAACAAATGAGATGCAGAGACCTACCGAAGTCCAACCTCTTTTTTTTCCTGATTTTACCAGCCTGAAATTTAAAAATGCTATATCTGATGATTGAGATCAAAGCTGAGTTGAAAAACTGAAATACGAGACCACTAAAGGGCTTTCAAATACAGGAGCATGTTTAGCAAATACAGAATTTCAGCAACCTGTTGACTTTAAACTTATTTTGGTTTTTGATTAGTGTGTCATATTGTGGTTGCCCCTTAAAATATGGCCAGAAATTCGGATAAGGTGAGGATTAAACTGGTCATATTTTTTCAGAGTCCATCCTCAGAAATGTCATCTAAAACTGGCAAGTTACAGAAGGGTAGCTGTAATTTAGGCATCTCATTCAGAGGCATACAATTTTAGCAGCAAGATTTGAAAAGGACCAGATTTATAAGGGCTTAGTTTCCACTTAACCTCAACTTCTGGGCAACTAACATCTTTAACTCTTTTAAAACTGCCCTTGAGGCATAAAGTGGTTGGGCTTCTCCTTCATGATCAGATTTATATCTTGCAAACACTTAATGTTTCAGACACTGGTACATGGATGTCAGAATGCAAAGGTATTGTCATGGTTTAACCCCAGCCAGAACTCAGCCCCACACAGGTGCTCTCTTACTTCCCCTGATGGGGTGGGGGAGAGAGCTGGAAGGGTAAAAGTGAGAGAATTGAGGGTTGAGATAAAGGCAGTTAAATAGGGGAAGCAAAAACCCTGCACACAGGCAAAGCAAAACAAGGGATTAATTCCCCAGTTCCCATGGGCAGGCAGGTGTTCATCCATCTCCAGGAGAGTGGGCCTCCATCATGCACAGCAGTGACTTGGGAAGACAAAAACCATCACTCAAAATGTCCCCACTTCCTTCTTACTCCTCCAGCTTTATGTGCTGAGCATGTGGCCATATGGTCTGGGATGTCCCTTGGGCCAGCTGGAATCAGCGGTCCCTGTTGTGTCCCCTCTGGACTCCTTGTGCACCCCCAGCCTTATTGTCAGCAGGATGGTACAAGAAGCAGAAAAGGCCCTGATGCTGTGCAAGCCCTGCCTAGCAATAACTGAAACATCCCTGAATTATCAACCCTGCTTCCACCACAAATCCAAAACACAGCCCCATACCAGCTACTGTGAAGAAAATTAACCTTACCCCAGCCAAAGCTAGCACTGGTATTTATTATTATTGTTACTGCTACAGCTGCTAGGAAGTTTTGGACTTGGTTCCCTGCTGTGTCTCATTAGAACTAATGCAAGACAAATTTTTTAAAAGTTTTTAAAAATTGAAACAGAGAAAACCCTTTTCAGTCTTGTGCATGAGTGTGTAGGACAGGGAGAACTCCTGCCTGGTGGTGCAGAAATTAAGACCTTGGCATGCTACACAAGCCAGCAGCTGCAGTATAGCATGGTGTTCCACATTTGTCACTGAAAGCACTTAAAGTCATCAACCCAGGAATAATTCAGGAGTTGCATATGGGCCAGAGCTGATGCTATTTGCCATGTGCTTAAAAATGTGGGGGGATCAAGTATCCCATAATAAAGATTGGCACTTGGCTAACTTTGAGTGCAGTTAGCAGGGTTGAAGCTTTCATGCATAGTTGCTTTGTGATATGTGTGTAATTCTGGCCAAAATGTTCCCTGGCTGAGGCCCAAAGTAATGCTCTAATACAAAAATTAAGAATAATATCTGATTCTGACACCAGTAGTAATATTGATTTATTGCTATTGAATTTGCTTCCTGATAAGTCACATTGTCTTGTCTGAATGGCTCACAATCATTGATGTGTTTATCTCCGCAATACTTGCTGCTGTTGGTGCAGGGCATCACTCTCCTTCCACAGTAGGGTTAGGGGCATAGAGATGGTAAAGAGCTTGTCCAGGGTCACCCACACCATTCTGGGGAGCAGGGATTTGAAGCCAGCATCCAGCTATTGAACCAGACTTTCTCTCTGTGGATCTCAGCTCCTGCATTTGCCTCTGTGTTTTGCAAAATGTTCTATGAGGAATTCGATGTCCAACTTGGTTGTGCAACCTGGCCAGAGCTTCTCCAGTCTCCACTGGAGAGGCTTCCAGGTGACTGCAGCTGGAGAAGGAATGGACAGAGAGAGGGCCTTGCTGTGAGGACCATGTCATAGCAGGTTGTGACTGCATCCTTTGAAAATTACAGTAAAAATTAGAGCCCTGACACCATTGTCTGTTTCCACAGATCTTGGGTGAGATTTTCTGCGTAAGTAGAAATACAGGAAAGCAAAGAGATCTATCTTCCACAGATCCTGGGTGATATTTTCTGCATAAGCAGAAATACAGGAAAGCAAAGAGATCTATTTGAGGGGGTGTTTTGTGCAGCATCTCCACAGAATGCAGTTTGCTCTGCTGCCTTGCATCCTGGAGAGCAGAGGGGAGGGCAGTGGGGTGAATTCCTCTGCAAGAATGTTTAACCTGCTGTGTCCTCGTCCTGCTGCTCTCCTCCAGTCTTGTCCACTTCCATGTTTAACCTGCTGTGTCCTCCTCCTGCTGCTCTCCTCCAGTCTTGTCCAGTAGGTATTATTCAAGAAGAGGAGGCAACCTGGGCTATTACTCTGTTCTTCATGGTGTTTTTCTGAGTAGTCTCAAAGTCTCTGAGTTTACTAAGAACATTAGATGTGTCACCTGAAAAGACACAAGTACTGAAAGACTTGCTACACTGGAAGGAATGCTAATTCCCTGGTGTTGATAGTAGCTGCTACATGATATGTCTTAGCATATTAAGAGCAGATTCACATTGTTTCCTGCATGTTTTACTCTTTGCAGTTAGGTTACAAGCTAAACGGTTCGCTAGTTTGTTTTGTGTTTTTGCAGGGCAGAAACTACTGGATACCTTAGCTGAAACCTGGGATTTTTTCTTCAGTGATGTCCTGCCCATGCTTCAGGCTATTTTCTATCCTGTGCAGGTGAAAAATTACTCTGTTACTATAGAATCTTGAAAAACTGGAAAAAGCAACTTTACTGGTTCATCAGCAGATTGATGCAATCCTTAATTCTCTCTCCTTGGGCCAAGCTCCCAGTGCAGCTGTTCTGTATAGTCATGTCATGCAAATAAGTTACTTATGCAAATGGATTTGAAGTGCTTGGGTGAAAAACATGAAGGGGAACTTTGAAAACAGAAGTGGAGTGCAGGGAGGCTGGTTAGTCCTTCTGCCAATTCACACTAGAAGTCAAGAAAAGGTTATGAATGATAAACTGAAGTATGCACACAGTGGAATAAGTGGAGCTGTGTTGAGTTAAATATGCATTTCCTTCTCTGCAATGTGAATTTGTCGCTGAAATATCTCCACTTTTGAAAAGGAATTTTACTTCTGAGATCAAACTCTGTGCTACTGTAAGTGAATAGCAATAGGTAGTGGAGTTAGACCAGTTTAGATGAACACAGATGTTGACTCCAGTAATTTTAAATCCACAATAGTTGCTCAATCTTATTTGGATGAAGGCTTAATCTTCTCATTTAGTGCTAGCCACAGAGTGTTTATCACTGAAGTCTCAAGGAAATTCATTCCAGGTAGGTGTAAGTGACCTTCTATAGTTGCTCATCATAGAAGCCTTCAGATTTTAGTGTGAGGTTGGTGCCTGAACATATTTGGGGAAACTTCAGACATCTTCTCCCTTTTTAAGTACTTTACACTTAAAATGGTTGCCCAAATGTTAATGATGTACCATTTAGATCTGCAGATAGTTACAGATAAAAAATCTGAATTCTGTTTCAGCTGAAACAGTAGAAATTAGATGGTATTAAAAATGTACTAGAACACAATGGGAGATTTTTCTAAGTGCCTTGTAATTTAAATCCAAGATATTTGGACACCTAGGCTCACAGCCTGGTTTTCTGAAGCACTTGACTAAATTAGAACTCACTCAGTTGTTTTTGAAAATTGCACCAAACATCCCTTTTCTCTGCTGTGTTTCTGAGATCTTTGAAAATACTTTAGCAACACGAGTCTTCCCCTCATCAGATGGAAATAATTGCTTGAATTTTCAAAGGAACCTAGAGGGGTTAAGAGCCCCGAGTCCCATGTAATTTCAAATAGATCTGGGTGCTCATGTTCTGAGGTTTCTTTGAAAAGCCCAACTGGTACTTATGTATTTTCTAAGTTCTATTCATTAGCAATTGAAGCAGATTTGGGGCCTTCTTTACTTCAGTATAAATAATTAACAAGTGAAAAGGAATTGGTGGAGTTGGGTCAGGCTTCTTTATTCCAGACTTAGATAAGTTGTTGCCATCTGAATACCAGACCTTCCAGAAGTGTTAATATTTGGCTGGCTACACTCATAACTGTAGGCAAGAATATGTGTGTACAGCCACATACACCCCAAAGAAAGTCCTCTAATGCCAGAAAGAGGAACAGTTTTACAAATCCTCATAAGTCAAGTGCCATTAATCTCTGCAGACAGAGCTGTCTTCTTCAGCTGAGAGTATCTTCAATGAGAAGGTATTGTTGGACTGCAAAAAGATGTCTTTGAAAGTGTATTATGAAGCTTCAGCTCTGCTCCTGCCTTACAGTGAAGTGGGTCAAACTGTAAAGCAAGGATCCACAGGTGGGCTGAGTCAGGATTCCCACCATGCTTTGACGACAGTAACCAACCAGTACTCAAAATCTTAAGAAATGATAGAAATTCAACCCTTTTGCAACCCTGTGTTCTTTTTAAACATATGATACATTTTATTACCTGTGCTCACCCCACTGCAACCCTTCACCATCGCCACACACAGTCAGACTCAGTCATTGTCTGTGGTGTTCATTACTGCCAAATCAAATTTACTGTGCAGACTTGGAGGCAGCTCTGTGTCCTTTGTTATGTTTCCTTTGCTTTTCATTTAGGTTTACCATTCTTGTAATCCCTTAGAAGTGGAGGAAGGAATTTTGACAGAGGATTTTGAAACTCATTTCCATAGTGCTCATAATCCTTCTTGCTTTGTTTCCAAGGGAAAGGAGCCCTCGGTTCGGCAGCTGGCACTGCTGCACTTCAGGAATATAATTACCCTCAACATAAAACTGGAAGATGCATTATCCCGTTCCAGAGCCAGAGTTCCACCATCTATTATTCAGATGCTGTTAATACTCCAGGTAAGTTGGTTACTTTTCCCAGGCTGTTCTCTTTATCCATCTTTCTGCTGAAGTCTTTTGAAAGTCTCTGATTTTGGTTATTCATTCAAAACTTCTTACTCAGAATGCCACAACTTCTGTGCAATTAACTGTGGTCCTAATATCTAAAAGTAGAGATTGTAGAGGTTCAGATTTCATAGCTTAAGATCCAGAGGGTCTGAGAGTACAGACTTGTTTTGAAACTGTGGGCCTTGAAACACAAAGTTTTGCTCGAAGACCAAGTGAGAAGGAGTTTGCCCCTGGGTGTTTATTTCTGCATATGTGACCTATGGTTGTGTGGTGGGGATGGTGAAAGTCCTTTCTCAGCAATAGCTCTGCCAAACTCGTGGTTTAAAATCTAATGGAGTTTTCAGGAAAAGGTCAGAAGATGATCTGGGAATTAGCTATTTACATACTTAGCAGTGTTAGTCAGTAATTGGATTTCAGAGCAAAGGCTTTTTTCCAGACTTATATGTCACATTAAACAAAAGCAAATTTTATACATTTGTGACATAATAATGGAATATTCTTGATTTTAGTTTAACTCAGGTCTGAATAGGGCTGGAAGATGGATAACAATTCAGCTGTCCAGTGAGCGCATGGTTGGGCTTGTGTGCTTGGATTTCCCAGACTGAGCTGTTTTGGTGTGGATGTTATCTAATCCCTATTTGTGTCCATCGTGAATATCCAAAACAAACTTGGTGACACTAGAGTGGACTCCTGTGGCTAGAAGATGAGGCTAGTGATGTTGAATCTAGACCGAGTGTTAGACTTAGTGCTAAGTTTCCATGTTTCTGTCCTTGACAGCCTCATGCAGCTGTGTTATGTACTTAAGGAGTAGGCCATGGTCTCTAAGAGAGCAGTTGTGATGTCAGCTGAAGGTCACAGGTTGACAAAGGCCCATGCCAACATGCACCAGTTTGTCTTGTTAAACTGAAGTAAAGTGGCAGAGATTTGGTAACTAGTGCAGGGTGTAGCTAGTATTTTGGTTTGGCTTGTCATGGTGTAGGAGAAGACTTCTGTCAGTTTGTCACGAGAGGACACTTTCCTAATGGAGGGAAAGGGAATCTTTGTAAAGAGAAAATGGAAACTGCAGTGATCCATGGGCTTTATTTAGGAGGTAGGTGCTGATTCAGCAAAGCTCAGTGGGCACACCTGAGCTTCAGTGTCTTCAGCATGTGAAGGATTTCTGTGAAGTTTCTGACTGACCTGATGCCAGGTTCATGCATTTCTTGCTTGTTCAGTTGGCTGCACTCTGGCAGGAGAATAAAATGCTCCCTGCCAAAGACCTCCTGAATAAAAGGGCCTGAAATTAAGTTGCACCCCTTACTTTGTTGTTTGAGTAATTGTTTTTCCTTCTGTGCATCAAATATTTTTCCAGTCCACAGTAAGCAATTTGCTGGAAGTCTGCCTGCCAGCCATGCATGTAACACCCTAGTATGTGACACAGCCCCCATGCCAGTCCTCTGGCACACAGTGGCTTGAGACAGGATGTACTTTGGGATAGAATGGGTCATCAACCTGACACACATCTCACAATTTGTCCAGAGAGCCAAGTACCTCAATTTCTTTGTGTTTAAGGCATCAAAGACTATTAAATAAAAAAGACTTGGAGGAGGAAAATCTTATATCTTTCCTGTACAGGCCCTTGCTGATGGAAAGAAGAACCTTAATTTCTGTGATAACGCTGTTACGAGTATTATTATAGCAGACTGTATTGTTGTAAGATACCATTCATTTAAAGGAGCAGAAATCAGTCCTTGGGTTAATCATTAGACTTGAGTTCTCCAGTCCAGTAGAGCTACTTCTCACCAGTGCTATAACCTGGTCTCATTACAACCCAGCAATCTGTCAGGAAAGAGGCAGTTCCCCAGAACTGGGGGGAGGAGTGACATTCCTGAGCCGTTGAAGTCAGTGGTAGTTTTATCATGGCTTGGAAGAAGGACCTTATACCATTCAAACTGTGAGTGGCCAGCATAGCCTGCCACAGGTACAAAGCACAAACTGAAACGTTAATCCTTTGTGGCTGCTTATAGGCAACATAAGCTGAAGAGCCTCCAGGATGCTCCCAGTTCAGTTGCAGAGCCTTCCAGAGCAGAGCCATGACTGGGGGAACTAAAACTGCTTTGAGCACAGTGATGCACAGGAGCTCATGTAGCAACAGTGAGTTACCAGTCTCACCTCGGTGACCTTTCACTTTGGGTGAAATTAGGAAGCTGGAGGGAGAGGGCTAAACAGAAGGAGAGATTAGAGAGCTTTCTCCTTTATGCTCTCTGAACCACAGAGCGCAAAACTGCCACCAGAGGATAAACAATCTGACTGATTTACCAAAGAGGGTTGTCAAAGATTGCCTTTGCCACTGAAACTGGAACATCTTATCTCCAGGTATCTCTCCTGAAGTGTGAGAAAGTTGGAAGAGAAGAATTAAAGAGTGGTTATCTGCATCTTTCAGTTAACATCAGGATTTTTTAAGTTCATAGAATCTCTGTGGGTGACCTGAGGTATTTAAAACCCCAAGAAGAGCACAACACAATATCTCTCATGCTGAGGCCTCAGTAAACATAAGCTCTGAAGAGAAAAATAAAACCTGTGGTTTCCTTTTTGGCTCTCTGAACTTCGTTTGATCTCCCTTGCCCGTTGTCTTTCTCTGTAAAGGAAGACAAAATAAATACATAAAACTGCCCAGTGGGACCTACTTGTTACCTCTGGAAAGTTCTTTCCACTTTAAAGGGGTGGAAAAGTACATTGCAAGATCTGAAAGCAAAATGCAGAGAGTGCTGGTTTTCCATCTCAGCAGCTACAGAGCACACCGAAAACAGCAGAGTGGTTAAAAACAAAATACTGTTTGCTATCAGAAAGGTGCAGGGTCCTGACTGTGGCACAGCAGATCTGCTCCAACACTGCAGTGTCTGTCAACTAGAGTCAATTCTTTATGGCCTTAGGTTTTCAAATTCAGTGGTTGTTTTTGAGAGGTTGTCTTACTAAATCTCTTAGACCTGAAACTTAGGTTGAATGAAGTGGTGTTGGTCTGACATTTCCACATGCTTTTAATAATTTAATAAAGAGTCAGGTAAGAAATCTTGCAGCCAGAACACTGCCTGACACAAAGGGAAGAGTCCTCTGTTGCTTTGTGTTGACACATGCAAAACTGAGATCTGGCCCTCAAGGTTTATACTTTAGAGTATTTTGTAGATATGTTTGCTTCTATTTTCTCTTATTCTCTCTTATTTATTGTCTCTATACTAAATGCAGTTTGCAGTAATTAAATTGACACAGATTTTTTTATCCTGGAATGAATTTGTATTGCTGGGATTTTTAACCAGGTGCAGTTTCATTTGTTGTAGGAAAAAGATCTTTTTTTAAAAAAAATCTTGACCTTTGTGCTTGTGAGGAGTACTTGTCATATTTGATTTTGAATTTCTTCATATGATTTTTATTATCGTGCTAGTTGTCTGGTGCTGGGAATCATTTCTGCATGGAAGCAGCAAAAATGCTAGAACTATTTCATCTACATCTTGGGATATTGCCTTAAGCAGGTGGGGATGTGCTGTGTTAATGAGCATGAGACAAGAAGCTGGGAACTGACCAGAGAGTTCCAAACAGTGAGAGCAGCTGTATCCTGAGTGCAGCACAGGAGAGCAGAAAGGTCTCCATGTACTGTACAGCAGTGCTAACACTTTGCTCAGCTGATGGTGCCAGGTGGGAGTGCTAAATACAGTTTGTACTGACCAAAGTACCACCTTCACTTGCTTGCACATCAGTCAAGGGCAGTTTGCCTGCCATAGTTGGGGTCCTTGGTGTAAGGGGTAAGGATGTGAGCCAGTGACAGTCAGTGGCTGGCTGGTTTCCATTTACAAGTTGCAGGCTGATAGTTACAGAGGGAAATCACATCAGAGTCACTTTCCCTCTGTAACATTTTTTGCTCTGTTTTGACCTGGCACTTCCTCCGTGGCTCACCGTAAGTCTGTTTTCTCCAGAGGCAGAGACTGGGGAGTGATCGTGGTTGTTCTTAGCCATTCTGTAAGCCTGACTGACACAGGGCTTGTTTGGTAGCAGCTCCAGTGCCACCAACATTTCTACACCACAGACTCTGATAGATCTGCACTCGTGTGGACCCTCTTTGTAACTAAGGCCAGTGGAAATCCATTGCCACGTGAAAAGAATAGATTTCATTTTGAAATCGAGTCCTCTTCAAAACTTTTACTCAACATATCTAACAACACCGTGTGGTGCCACTTCTGTAACCTTAAGCAGCAGAAAAACAGGAAAGCAACAGGAAATATTATAGGTTTGCTTTGTTGTATGTGAACCTGTCTCATGAACACCGTGGCATTGTAATTTAAATGTCCATCTTGTCCTTTGTCTTTAACAGAAAAACAGTTGGAAACATGACCATAACCTTGTCCATACTAATTAAGCACATTTGTTTTCAAAGGCAGTTTGCACTGTGCAGATTCCCTTTGGGCATATGCTCATAGTGCATTTTAAGAGTACCTCACATTAAGTAAACGGTCAGTTCTGTGAAGGATATCAGTTAGTTAACCAAAGGTATGACTTCAGGTGGAGTTGGTCTAACTAAAATAAATGTCTCCTGGAGTTTGCCTCTATTCATGAAACTGACCTGTTAAAACCAGTAGAAGTTCATTGGTAGGCAAACCCTTAATCCTTAACAAAATAGAGTAAAATCAGTAAAATAATTCTTAACTTGAATTAGTGTGTCCTTGCAGACCCTATAATTTTGTTAAGTAAGAAGGAGAAGGTTTTAACTAATTGTATTAATCTGTACAATTGTCTTTTGTGGACCCATTTGGGCCAGTAGACTAAAACTGGCATAAAAGATAGCATAGAAATTTTGACTATTGAAGAATTCTTGAGCAGGAAACATTCCCACGGTGCAAGAATCCTTTGAGTCAGGGTGCTTTAATGCTGTAATTCATGGGTTGTCTACAGGGGGAACTTAAGAAAGTTAATCTAAGCTACCT